TTACGGAGCGGAGCAGATATTCGTTTCTTAAATTTTAATATTTGTGATTTGCTTTGTTTTTAACGGATATTAAATTTTAGTATTTGCTTTGTTTTGCTTTGTGAAGTTACGGATATCCAGATTTTTCGTATCGGATCAAAACGGGTAACGAATCAAGGCGAATCTCACTAATATTTTGTCCAGCCCTAAACCATACTGTTCAGAGGCACATAATAAACTTAATAATCGTACTTGAATTTCTATATAAAAAATTTTGAGCGATATTTTAGTCAACGGAAACAAAAATCTCTTTCATAAAGCAAAATGTTACATAAAGGTTAGAGAATTCGTATTCAAATTTGTTGTTCCTTGCTGGAAATGAAATAATTTTTTTACTTAAAAAAAATATATTTCATATCAAATGAATAGTTTTGGTTTACAATCCAGATTATAAACCTGTATAATGGTTACACGGTAAAAAAGTAAAAATATGAAAACATATTCTTGTAAGGTTTTACTCAACAAAAATACGAAGTTAATGGAGTTATACGAAGTGATGACGATGTTTCTTGTTCTTCCCAGTACAAAAGACAATCAATGGAAGCACAAAGACGAGACCTCACACTCGATATGCCACATTGACCTCTCGCCTGCAGAATATCCACATTGATGTCTCACGCAGAAACATCCACAGAATAGCGACCAATTCATCGAGACTAAACGTCTAGTGGACAAGCCAAGGATCACCAACCAAGAAGCATTGTCATGCACCCAATCCAAAAGGGAATGGGAAAGGAGATCGAGGCTCCAACAGTCTAGGAAACGGAGAGAAGACCAACAACAAATGCTCTCTCGGCGAAACTCCGTCTCAACCACCAGACATCTCCTAAATCGCAAAGCCAAATAGACAATCGAAATTCTAGGTGATGATTGATTTGTTCCTTTATCTTATTTTAAGTGATTATCTACTTCGTCTTCGAGTCCTTCGTGGAGCAAATCAATAAGCAAATCCATTTCATGTTTCTTGAGGGAGAAGCCAATCTCCACACCGCCATTTCCATCTCTACTCTCTGTCATTGATATCTTTCCTCTCTGATCAATCGACACAACCAACACTCTATCCGGTTTACCCCACCCGAAATCCAATCCGTATACACCAAACCGGGTCGACCCAGCAACCGACACAAACTGTAATTCCGCCGGAATATTCGCATACGTCTCCAAAACCTCCGGTATCTTCCACGCCACATTCGAATCCAATCCCTCAATCGAATCGCTTATCAATCTCGCAGCCGCCAAAAACCCATCTCCACCCAGAAACGGCTCCGCCATTAACGGGATTTTCACAGCAGAGAAAACGCAATTCCCGAAATAACTCATCGGAATCGGTGGATCTATGATGAGTCTTCTACAATCAACCGCGAATCTATACCCGACTGGTCTGTTCCGATCATCGCCTCCAGATTTGATCAAACACGTGAAAACGTAAGAGAACGTCACCACAAAATTCGACAATCGAAGCTCCTTTAAAGGCGAAGAGGACGATTCTTTCCGAAGTCGATCTCGAAGCTTCTGAATATCTTCTCGAGTGATTTCGAATGTAAATCGGACGACGTCGGAATCAATCTCCGGCTTCGGTATAAGCTTCAAGCTTCTTCTGGGTTTGTTGTGCCAAATGTTCAAGACGTTAGATTCGATCTCCGGTGGACCTTTTATGACCGTACGATCGTAAAACGGTATTAGTTCCACCGGTAGAGAATGGTTTGCTTTGTTACATAAGTGAGCCCAAGATTTGAGAAAAGTGGTTGTCGTTTTTCCATCTGAAACGGCATGGTGTGTTGTTACGCCGATGCAAAACCCTTGGTTTGGAAAAAGCGTGACTTGAAACGACACGGCGGAGGCTGAGTCGTCGGAGACTTGTAACTCGGGGACTAATGGGTTCAACTTGGTGGAGGAGAACGGTTTGTTGCCGGATAAAAGAGAGAAGTCGGAGTTTGACTCGGCGACGGTGAATGAAACGGCGTCGTTTGGAGAGTAGACGATGCTGGGTTTGGGATCGAGTGGGTTCCAGACGATTTTTCCTGCGAGTGGGAGGTAGTGAGAGAGGGATGAGGAGAGGGATGATTTGAGATTTGGGACGATGACTGAGTCGAAGAAAGAGCGAGTTGCGTCGGTGAGTTGGTAAAAGATGACTCGTTCGACCGCTCTGTGTTTAAGCCAGAGAAGGTCGAAGAAGGTGAGTGGGAGATTGAGTGACTCGGACGAGTCAGAGGTTGAAGGCGTTACTCGGGACACGTGGATTATATTTAGTGATAGATCCATTTTTTTCTGATTAAGAGATACTTAATTAGTGAATTATTTCATTCGGGACCATACATATATATATACACACACACGAGAGTTGCGTAAGAATTCAACATACGTACAAGGAAGAGCGAAAAAAACATGGAACCTTAATCTTGTGTAATATAATTAGTAGAGCCGAATCCGGATATCTTGGAATTTCAGAGAATGATTTCCTGTAATTCCATGATATCCGGATATTTTAACCTTGTGTAGTAGTATGATTATACTTTTTTTTTTTTTTGGGAAGATGTTTCAAGCATTGTTTTTCTAGTGATGAGTCTTCCTCGAGAATCACTATTGGAGGAAGATCCCTAGTATTCCTTATGAGCCATAACAAGTGAATAACATTGTAAAACTTGTAATACTTACTTGGTATTGATGTGAGCAAGAAAGCTATCATTTTTTTTGTTATCTTTCTTTGATCCAAGAGGAAAACCGAAATAATAAGCCTTGCAGCTAGCCAAGAAGATCGTGAAGCTACTGACATGTTAAGCCTTGGATGCATGATCTTTTACATCGTAATGGGAGGTTTACAGCTTTTTAATCAACAAACTGCTTGTCTTAAACTACTTGAAGCTTCTTCTGAAGCTTATGATTTAATCTCCCAGTTTACTCAACATAAATAACCTCTTATGGTATGTATCTTATTCAAAATTCACTCAATCTAACTTCTTAGTCCCTATTTTAGTGATTATATTGACTATGTATGTTGTTTAAACGATTAGAAATCAATTTAGCAACTTTAACTTTGTCGTCATGAAATCTCTGATTATGTGATGTATACTAATTAAGTGGTTGAGACGGCGATAGAGAGAGTTTTTGATCTCCAAATTTTTTTTATACAAAAGTTGACTAATGATTATGTGAAATTGTGTAACACTAAAACCATAGATTGCATAAAAAATGGAAACGGATACTAAAATTTTATTTTATAAAGAGTTCTTTAATAGTGTAAAAATTATTCCAGCCCAAAATTTGCAGACCATGCTATATAGCATGGTGATTCAGTCTAGTGTAGTCACTGAAACACTGTCCCAATTTAAATCCATATAATATCTTTTGTTAACAAATCAAAAATGTATATTGAGGGTGTTATAGATTTGCTTTTGGTAATCTTATAACATAAATAAAATTTTATCTTTTTAATAATTGCCGCACTTTTTCTCCTTATACTAGCGAATATTAAAGACGTTGATTTACTATTTGACTATGGTTGGTTACCAT